AAGATAAAGGTAACGCGGGTGAAGACCTAACAGGAGGATGGTATGATGCTGGTGATTTTGTAAAGTTTGGTTTCCCCATGGCATTTTCAACTACATTGTTAACCTGGGGTTTCATTGAATACAAGACTGCATACTCTGCCGCTGGCGAGCATGATCGAATGTTAGATTCGATTAAATGGCCACTGGATTATTTCATCAAAGCACATGTTAGCAAGAATGAACTTTATGGTCAGGTAAGTTCCAAAAGCAGGATATTTATATATCTAATTGAAAAAAGTAGCTACAAAAATTGCGGTTGAACAGAAGCTATTTAACGACAATTTGAAATAAAAATGAAATTTAAATTATATCTGAATGGTTTGGTAACGTTTCAATTACAATAGTAAAGAATGGGGGCAATTCACAAAGTATATAGTAATAATTTTGTCTGGTTGATCTCTCAGCTCTCTTAAACGTTTTTTTTAACTACTTCAGTAACATATTCATTAATAAAACAATATTTTAGAAGCTTTGGAATAAATTCTTTGTAACAATTACTAATTAACTTACTCACATGACAAAATCAAAGTGTTCCTTGAAAGGAGTGCTGTTTTTGTTCTTCATGAGTTTATCATTTGTATTTTTAGGTGGGTGACGGGCATGCAGATCATGCGCAATGGGGTCGACCAGAAGAGATGACGATAGCCAGACCTGCATTCAAGATCGATCAGGCCAGTCCAGGTTCAGATTTAGCAGGAGAAACCGCAGCAGCTATGGCAGCTGGATCCATAGCTTTCCGAGAAACGAACTCCCAGTACGCTGATACTCTACTAAGACATGCTAAAGAACTTTACGAGTTTGCAGCTCAATATCGCAGAGCGTACACGGACAGTATTAATCAAGCGTCCGACTTTTACAGATCAAGTCATTACCAGGATGAACTTGCCTGGGCAGCAGCATGGTTATACAGGGCAACTGATGATCCGAACTACCTTCAAAAAGCAGAGCAACATTTTGCAGAATGGACTCCATTTGGCAATCCCGCGTGGGGATTTTCTTGGGATGAGAAAACTGCTGGTGTGCAAATGTTGATGTACCAGTTGACAGGCAGCAATGTCTATCAGACATTGATTCAAAATTCTTTGCAACAATGGCTTCCTGGCGGTTCTGTTCAATACACTCCTAAAGGTTTAGCATGGCGTATTCAGTGGGGTGCAAATCGATATTCAGCAAACACAGCATTCTTAGCGCTGTTGGCAGCAGATAAAGGTTTAAACAGCGAGGCTTACACAACGTTTGGTAGAAATCAGATTCATTACATGTTGGGTAAGTACTTTGCCTGTTTTCAAATTGTTGCATTTCTTGACAGCGGTTTGTTATTATTCAAACCGCAATTGCTTGTTGCATAGGCGTACAGGGTGTAACTCTTACGTTGCCAAATTAGAAATTCTCGACGAGTTACAGGGGTAGCGAATGGTACAATTGAATTTTCGAACTCAACAGATGAAAAGGACAAAGCTTTAGTTGACGTCAAACAATGAATAGACTGTTGTTGTCACGAAATGATTGAATTATACTAGCTTGACGAGTTGACGGTAAATCAATTGTTAGATAATGAATCACAAACAATGTAGACGAAGATATACGTTTTGTAGTTTTAATTCACGGTAGTTTCACTCTGTACTTTCACACTGTAGTATGGTAGTGTTGAGGTGGTGAGGTATTGGTGTTGTGTTGGTTCGAATTTGGTTTACACTTGTACCAATTGTAGCGATTATGATTACGGTAGAATATAAAGTCCCTTGAACTTCGATAGCGATTTTTACTGTAGCACGGTTCGATTGATTTTGACAATGTTCATACTAGTCACGAACTGTGTCTATAGATATGTCCTAAAGGCATTTCCGCAGTGAACAGATAAGCGCTATATATGCGAAATAGAGTTCTATTCATGCTAGATAAGGTTCTATTATGCTAACTTCGTCTTAGATAATAATTAAATTGTAAACAATGACACAATGAACGTTTCAAACCAACACAGGGTAGGTTAGAAATTTTTAAATGTTTTAAATTTTGAAATGTTTTATATATTTCTTTTATACAGATTTCTCGCTTTTGAATAAATCCCCCCCTCTTATGCTTATGACTTGTTGAATTAGTATGGAGAGATGCAGTTAATGAATAAATTTAGTTCCAAAAGAACAACCTTTTGACACACTCCCTCCCCGCCTGATCTGACCGCCCGCACGCTCACTTCGCTCCCTTTGGGAATTTTATGTGTAAGTTCTTTGTAATAGCTTAAAAGCCTCCTCAGTGGAGGAGAGTCAACTCTCAACTTGCGGACACTCCACTATTACGGACAAATCCCCGGCCGAAACTACTATGAAATATATTGAAACAAGGCGCCTGCTCAGGCGTTCACACTGGCCTGAAAATAACGAGATACGTGCTATGGTGCAAAAGGCAGGAATACAAAACTTAAACCGCAAGCAAATAAAAGACCTTTTCGGGAGACGTAATGGTGCAAATCTATTACCAGGAGTTACTATCGCAAGGAAAGTGCTGCCTTTATGGCGTATGAACTGAATGCAAAAATTTATACTTCTAGACAATTCTCGGTTATATCCCCAATGTTTCCTTCTCGTTCATCATTTAAGCCCGTTCACAAACTCATTCTTAAATTGTGTGCACGGAATACGAGTAAATAGCCAACATGAAAATGAAGCCATTGGGTCAAAAGTGGATATTAAGGTCTATTAACCTATTAGCTGACAATGCACACTACTTTAGTATTAACTCTGGCTAACGCCAGACCAATTTACACTGTAACGCCAGACGATTTTACTTGTTAGTGGCAGAGTACTGTCAGTAAATGGGTTAACAAACACATGTAACATTGGTCTCTTAGAGTCCTATTAACCCATTGACAGGCAATGCACCCTGCTTTAGTATTCTTTAGTAACTCTTCAGAATTTGCTCAGAGTCAATGTGAGTAAAATACATCTTGTATTCAAGCGCTTTCATGTACAAAGTTTCGTTTGAATACGGCACAGTGTAGGAATATTTATTTTGAATTTTTCAAAATATCGGGTTTTTACTCGCACGCACGTTTATAGCTCGATTGGCCCGATTGATGCACGTGCAAATCATGTCGACCAACAGAATCGATTTCCGTTTTTTTCTAAACAGCGCGTTGTTTTGATCGCCGCGCTAAAAATATAAATATTCTGTAAATACCGAAATAAAAGATGAAAATCCCAAGACACAAGCTTGAAAATAACACTATAAATAGTGTTTTCGATTCTGGTTCCAATAATATTATCACGAAAAAGATACTGTCCAAAGGGGCCGAAGTTATGTTCGGCAAAATGTATGGCTAGTTTACATTGTTTGTTATATTATGAAATATGACACCATACTTGTATTAAAATTCGCGTCGAACTAAATGTTATTGTATTAGGCAAATAAGTAGACTTGCCACAAGTAGACCTCGAACGAAATGCGTTTCTTCGAGGTCGACTTGTGGCAAGTCTAGCAAATGAGAACCATACAATAATGGTTCTAGTTCTTGTTGGTATTTTGAACGCACGCCTTATCTTTAGTATAGCTACCACAAAGCTTTTCGCGCGGATTATATTTTGCGCAGTACTAAAATTTCCGCACCCAGCGGCCAGCGCTACGCGAATTCTCTTAATTCTAGTACTGCGCGGATTTGAATACATGTATTAAAAGGTATATTGTCGACATTTGACTAAAACTATCGTAAGGAATTAGGAGAGTTTGTCCGTGTTTATATTCCAATATATTGTATAAATTCGCTGGGTACAAATTTATGAAATTTTGGGGTTAATTCAACAGGCAAGAAAGTCCAGAGTGCGACCCAAAAATTAACACAAGTACACAACGGATGTTATGAGTCCACGACGTATATTTATAGTTGTTTATTAAAAAGTCAAACTGTCAAACCTTTAACTTGTCTTTGTTTAAATATCCTTCTATATATTGTATGCATTCGCTGGGTCCAAATTTTGTGGTTTTCGAGTCGTTACACAAAGAGTCCAGAGTACGACACAACGTAAAATTTAAATCATGGAACCGAGGGAATCGATGGCATTTTGGCTTAATCGTTGCACCCTGAGCCTAGCAAACTCCATTTCTCGAGTACGAAAAAAACAGAAAAAGAGGGATTTAAAACACTTGTAATAACTCTCTCTATTACGGACTCTGGTTCCAAACTAGCCTCCTCTGCAGGAATCTCCAGGAGGCTCTAGACTGCGAATGGGTGTTCGGAACTCGATTCCCCGGGTGAGATCACTGGGTCGATCGTTGCCGAAGTAAAATGTTTTTTGAATACAAATTTTTGACTTGCATTTTGACTTGTATTGTGTACTAAGTATCACAGTAAACGTAAACTAGAAATTGAAAGAAACTGGGCTATTAAAAAGAGCAGTAAGTATAGGTTATTTTGAGGCAACGAGGGGATATGTGATTTATTCACCGAGGCGCGCAGCGCCGAGGTGAATAAACACATATCCCCGAGGTGCCTCAAAATAACGTACTTATTTTTCACACTGCGAGGTCGCGTTAATGAGTCAGAAAAGAAATAATTCTCAATGCCATATTGCTTTTGCGATGTTGTTTTTTCTCATTTTTTGTGCTGCAAAGACATTGCAGGTGAATATTAGAGGGGATTATTAATTGCAGGTGAATATTAGAGGGGATTATTAAACGGAAATTGAATAGAGTGGAATATTGAATATATTCCCCGATAAGAACAAAGGAAACCGAGCAGGGTGAAAAATAATACATTTTAGTGACATTTTACAACCTGAAATCGGGTTATTTTTATCGCACCCCGCTATTACGCCGATACCAAACGACGGTATCCAGGGTGTTCGCTGTAACGAGAGTTGACTGTAATGCTTTATTTCCGAAGCATCACAAAACAAATTCAGATATAACAAGACAGTGGCGGACACTTGGGGAGGGAGGACGTATCGAAAAAGGTATCCAATTAAACAAAATTTTCCTGAAATTATAGGTGACGCCGGTCGTAGTTACGTGGTTGGTTTTGGTGAAAACCCACCTCAACGTCCTCACCACAGATCAAGCTCGTGCCCTAACCTACCTGCATCTTGTGATTGGAGTGATTACAACAACCCGGGACCCAACCCACAAATATTGAATGGTGCTTTGGTTGGTGGACCTGACCAGAATGACAACTATCAGGATAAACGGGATGATTTCATTATGAATGAAGTGGCTTGTGATTATAATGCTGGTTTCCAATCTGCCGTCGCTGCACTCAAAGCCCGGGAGGAGTGTGAAAAGAAATGATAAGAAAGATTTTTTCAATTAGTTCACGATATGATTTTCTAAAGAACTTTACTGTTTGCAACGTAAAGTAATGCGTTTATATATTTGTCAAACAATAAACTTATACAGCACTGTAACTTGTTATTACATTTTTAAAATATATAATCAGTGGGGGTTAAATCTCAACGCATGTATCAGCAAAAAGTCTTACACTTTACAATTGTCTGCACGCTAACGATTTGCAGAAGATTTGCCTGTGAATTATATGCGATATCTACATATGAAAAACGAATTAAATTTCTTCAAAATGTTTTGTAAATTAGACAACAAGTATACTGTTTCCACAAAGATAAAGGTTTGGCTGGAGAAGACAAGACGTGTATTTCCTCTCGTTACTATTTACCGTAAATGATCTAATAAATGACCACTCTACAATAAACGCCCCGGTTTAACCCAGAATTCGTAAGAGACGCCTCTCTCTATTAAACACTCCTTTGTAGGAAGGGCGCGTTTCTTAGATTGAAATTAAACATTTATTGCAGTAAACGCTTGTTAAATTGTAAGTGTTGCAACCAGGGCTGCCGAGAGGTTGCGCGGGGCCCGGGGCAAAACGTTCCAAGGGCCCCCCCTATGACGTCATAATTGTAAAACAGGAGAAGCGGTGTTTTACAATATATTACACTTTATTGCATATTAGCCGACACTGACACAGCTAGGTTCATTTTCTTAGTTAAGCATTAGGGAGTTTAAGCTTAACGTTTCCGGGAACGGCAAACGGCAGGTTCGAATTTTATTAGCAAAATATTCGTTAAACGTTTTCGTTTCATATTTTCTTTTTTGTGCCAAAAGAATAATCATGGATTGCAGTTTTAAAACGGCAAGTTCATTTACTCTTTTTTGCCTGATACCGTAAAATTTTTCTTTGCCTGGCGTTTGCCGTTTGACGTACAACGCGAAGCTTAAACTCTCTAATCTTGAAACATACCCGGGGCGTTTATTACATCAATTACAGTGTCCTTATTGAACAACTAGCACTCGTAGTTCTAGGAAAAAAGGAAAGCGTCTCGAAGCCACATTCAACAGTCGCGTCGAATTCGAAAGGATCATGAAGCAAATTAGGGCGTGGTTCTCTTTGTACATTTCTACCATACAGCTGTAATACTGCCTGAATAGTGGTGATATACCATTCCGGAACACTTTGACTATAAAGCATCGTTTTCGCGCATGTGATATTAGTCAAAGCCTGACGTCACAATCACGAAAACGAGGCTCTATAACCAAGGTAACTTACTTTCCGGAAGCGTGTATTGTGAGGATGTTTGTGGTTCGACCAATAACGACTTGAGTATCGGAATGAGTGGCTGACGACTTGTTTCGAACTCACAACCATTTTAAATTGTTTTATATTTGCTGCCGAGCGTCAGCGAAGCAGCACACTATTCTATGACTTGACCCAGTCTTTCGCGCGATCTATGTATTATCGATATTTCGATTTTGTGTCTGTAACGACGTCGTAATTCCGGGGAAATAAGCTTCAAGGACGTTTGCAAAATGAAGATTTCAGAAGGACATTTGTCCCGTTTCTTGTCAATTTTATCGCATTTCGCTATTTAAACAAAATATATTAATACTGTTGAAAATACTCAGTTATAACAATAAATAATCTTATTAACAACGGGTTTAAGGTTAAATAGCAATAATAGTAAGTATCATTCGTAAGCTGTAAAACGTTTTACATACGCCATCAGCTACGCCAGTGCGTAGCAACAGTCATTTTAAGACTAAAGTCAGTGAACTATTATTACTACACTACATACAGTGTGTCATTTGCAGTGTTTCATGGGAAAAGGTTAACCATCGGGAGTAATTTTACTTTCAGGAGTTTTTAAATTTCCCCCTTAATTAGGTCGAGATATTTTGCACAAGTGTTTAGTATGATGGCAGCATTTTCATTCCGATAGTAACTTCCAGTTTAATATATTTTCAGTTAACATAAATCGTTAATTACTACTGAATTGTCTGATACTTTTATTTTCCTCCTCTCTCCAATACTTTCTGTTCAAGAGTTCTCAGATATTCTTTCTTTTCTGCATTTTCAATTTCAAGTTCCTTGATTCGTTTCTCCATCAAAACAAAACGATTTTTCTTGGCTACACGCGACTTTTTTGCTGCTGCATTATTCTTCATTCTTTGCTTCCAATACCTTTCGCCTTTTCTTCCTTCGTGTACTCGTTTTAAACTTCGTTTCGCAGTCTGAAGCTTGTTACCCTCTGCTTCCAAAACGCATTGTTTACTTAAACGATATTGTGACTCTGTATTATTCGTCATATCATTATTTGGAAATGGAATCATTTTATCCTCTTCAACTCCTAATCCACGTTTGAGGTTCTCTGAAATGTTCTCTTTATCGAGCGAAGTCGCCAAAAGTGCAAGCGTTATTTCCTTGCTTTGTAAGTATTGTTGAGAATGACTGACAGGGAAAAGCAAATTGGGTAAGTTTGTGTTGAATTCTTTATTTTTCTCTCTAAATCCTTGAAAATTTTCACCCAACAAATTAGAATTCTCTTTTGAAATATCGAGGTAGTTTATAGCTGGATGCTTCACATGGTATCTGTTCTCATAAATGAACTCATCTTCAAATGCTGATATCAACGAATCCATATACTTATCATTGACATGCTCCATACCAAAATAACTTTCATGCAGCATTGCGTCGAGTAAGTCAAATTCTGGGAGTTCTGGCGTCATAAAGCAATCAGTTCGGCATTCTGGGTAGATATTCCTTTGATTACTGTGAAAATCATCAAATAATGTATAATTCTCCATACTGATCCAGGGCATAAAATGGAAGCTGTATAAAAACAATGCCAATAATTGATAGAATTGATTTCTTGAAGTTCAGAATATGAATATCTATGCAAGAGTTAGTTCTGGGAAGACCAAATGATGAAAAGTGAACACAGCATGCTGTTGAATATATAGTGTCCATATCTTCGATGTATGATACCCGCACATGGGCCACTTCACAGACTAAATCATATGGCAAACTCACGTGTACAACAGAAAACTTGTTTATAAACTGCATTTTAAACCGACACTAATATTAATGATTAAAATGCAGTTTATAAACAAGCTTTCTGATGTACACGTGAGTTTGCCATATGATTTAGTCTGTGAAGTGGCCTATGTGCGGGTAACATACATCGAAGGTATGGACACCATATATTCAACAGCATGTGTTCACTTTTCATCATTTGGTCTTCCCAGAATTAACTCTTGCATAGATATTCATATTCTGAACTTCAAGAAATCAATTCTATCAATTATTGGCATTGTTTTTATACAGCTTCCATTTTATGCCCTGGATCAGTATGGAGAATTATACATTATTTGATGATTTTCACAGTAATCAACAGAATATCTACCCAGAATGCCGAACTGATTGCTTTACGACGCCAGAACTCCCAGAATTTGACTTACTCAGGGTACATCAGAAAGCTTGTTTATAAACTGCATTTTAATCATTATTAATATTAGTATCAGTTCCCTTTTCACCTGTATACACAAATTAATAGGGTTTTTTCTTGATAACACACACAGGGACCAAGATTCCCTTACCAATCCAGCAAATCGTAAAAGCTTCTCAGAGTCAGAGAAATAACATTAATTAACTAAGTCTGGCTCTAAATTAGTTGAATACAATGTTTTGAATTTCATAAAAATTCAAAACATTGTATCAACAAATTTATGCCGCGTGATAGTCTCCCTTATTTTTCAGCCGATTAAATTTCATGTTTTGAACAATAAAAGGAAGAAAAATATTTAAAATTATGGCACGCTTCGAAACCTGTACTCATTTATGGAGTCAGGTAGTGCAACATTACAGTCACGTGCCGCATGGACAAAATAAGCTAGTTGTTCTAATGTGGATTGTACAACAAGTGCTAAGAACTTGGTTGTTAAAAGGAATAAATACAAGGAAAATACAGATTTCACAACGAATTTTTCAAAACAAGCTATCGTTTACACATACAAACGATTTTGAAACCTCGCCTATACCGCCCGACGACAAAATTTGTGAGGACAAATACCTGTTTCGAATTTTATGATGAATAACTATAATTAATAGTTCATATTGTTATTTAGCTAGAGCGAACACCAAACGTGATTTTTTTTACTGTGATTGGCTGATTTGTGGTCAGCAGTTATGAGCATGTGTTCATCTGCTCTTCTCACAAAATTGTATCCAATACATTTTTTGAAAATCTTAGAACAAAGCAAGATCTATATACGTAGACGTAGTAGTTTTGGACTGGAAAAAATTATTGGTAGGAATTCGTTGAGCAGACATGGGTCGCACGCGTAGGAACTGTTCTGTTTTTTCATGGACGTGGGAGAACAAATCTTGCAAGACTAGCAAATCATCTCGATCAAGAACGTGGTATGGACGGACACGGAGAAACGCAAGAAATAGTTAAAATGGAGTAAGATAGGAATATGCGTATCTCGAAGAACCAAAGGAATTCAATATGGAGGAGTCTGGAAAATTTATTTAAGCGACAAGAAGAGGAGAGAAACTTTAATGTTTACTTAGGCGATGCAGAATTAAAGCATGGGCAGACTAGTAAACGAAAAACTTCTAAATCGAGAGAAACGAAGAAAAAAACATAACAAGTGGTGAACATTTTAATTTGTGTGCGTGGACAGGATTACGAGAAAGTGCAGCTATAGTAGTATAGTTGCCTGCAGAAAAGAAACGAAGTACAGTTAAAGTGCTGGATGTTAAATCTCTCTTGCCATATACTCTGATGAAGGCTTGCAGCTCGCAGCCGAAAATTTAGTTTTTAATTTTACTATATATATATATATATATATATATATATATATATATATATATATATATATATATATATATATATATATATATATATATATATATATATATATATATATAAATCAAAACGGGACTACTTAACTACCATAAACAAGCATTTAGAGATTTTGGCTCAAACTCGCTCTTATTTTAGCATTTTACCCCAATAGCCGCGTTCCCTTTATTTGACTGAATTAAGATAACGATGCCCCCTCTAGTGTTATTTATAATCTCTATGGCTAATAGGCTAACCCCACTCCTGACGTCGTCAAAACGATCCAAGATGGCAGACAGCTTATTGCTTTCCGTTCGAAATATTTCAAGAGTCAAGCTTGCATGATATTAAGAATCTGTAACAATATTTTATAGATAAATTTAAACGTTCTTTCAAATGAGACAGGGTCTTCCTCGTGATGGCGCGCGAGCTGAGGAAGACCCTGGGAACGGGTTGTTAATAAACCGCCTTTTTCGCCCTTTTGAGATTACGAAGCGTGCTCTGTTCCTTACGTCACCGGAAGTTAATTTTGCAAGACATAAGTCCCACTGTTTATCAGAAGTGTCAGAAGTATGCCCTGTTTAACTTTTTCCCATTCCATTTAAAAGCATCTCGTTTTCATGATCATTTTCCACAACATTAAAAGTGTTAGAATGTTAAAATGTCGTTTCATAGACATAGGAACTTTAATATTTAAGAATTAATTTCATCAAAGTGAAAGTAAAAGTGCTTGACTTGTTCTTAGAATAAATAATTCCTGGAATAAATTATTCTTGAACCACATGCAGTATTGTTTGTTAAAAAATACGCTCCAAACGCTTTATAAACCACGCTTCGCTAGCTGTCATCATGGCCAAATACAATTTATTGCGAGATGACTTTACCAACGCTACATTTGCTGTTGCGTTTGATGTCTACACTCCAAGACCTCACTTTATTATTTTACCTAAAAGCGGTGAAAGTGTTGATCCAGAATTTAGTCGCATAACAAACGAGCAGACACAACAGCTCATCGAAACGGGGAAATCAGTATTAGCATGCTTTAAAATAGTTCGTGGCGTTTTGTCTATACATCGCGGATCGTGGAGAACCACAAGAGATAAATTTCACGTTCACGTTTGTGTTGACGTTGAAAGTTACTTGCGAATTTATGAAAGCCGAAAGAAAGCCATTCCCAACTGGCCAAGTCGTGATTATGTTACAAAGCAGTGGAGATGGAAAAAAGACCCACGTTCGTACGCAGAAAATGTACGAGGATATCCTTACCGTAGTTATTTGGAAGACGAAGTGGCGGGCATTAGAACCATTAGAAGACGACCGTCTCGTAAAACAGACATCAAAGATAATCAACTCGACGAAGAGGTTCCACTCGAAGGCTGCATAACCAAGATAGTCTACCATTCATGCCATCCAAAGATTGGCTTCGTTGGCACAAAACCCGAAACGATTCAAGAGTTCCAGAATGTGCTCTCGGCGATGGAAAAATTCGCCAAAGAACGCGATTTGATTAACATGGAATCCAAGGACGAGAACCATGGCTGTCATATTTGCTTGTATTTAGGTTCAGGTATGTGTATGTAATACAAGTCAATTTCCATACGTAAACTAGCTTTAATTATCCTAGTTTCCATCTTGATCCAGATCCTAACTCTATATATACTGATGTTGATGTATGTATTGCATCTATATATTTTCGACTGATTTTCTCTACTTTACAGTTACAACTGATGATTGGAATTTCAGCGGGGAAGATGGCGAGGATGTTCGAGGACACATTGTGACTACCGGGTTTCGCTTCTACCAACTATGTCCTGTGGACCTTCGAGAGGATTGGTTCCATGCTTATAAGCAATCCGATTTTAAATGTCTGACTTAAACAGTAAGGGAAACTGTTATATATTGCAAAACAATCGATGCAATATTATCTCAACTGACATGTACACTACGTTTAACATAACATATATTATATATATATCCTGTTGTCCTGATCGCGTCAGTCTATTTATTATTATTTATTAAGTTAATAAATAGTAATATATCCTGTTTTATATTATAATATCTCCTTTACGTTATCAATTGAGGTCTCTTAAACATTTGTACTAGATCGTGACTGGCATTACATTCCTGCGACAAACAGCGAACTTAACTATTTACATTGAGTCCAATGTTTGAGTGATGTGTGGTTTCATGTTTCGCCTGACTAATCAAGGTTCTAAAAGTGAAACGAAAAGTAGCAATGTCAATTCCAAGAAGAAGGAATTCCAAGAAAAAGGTCATAAAGTCAATATCAATGCATTGGCATTTTTTGTCAAAATTTATCAATTTCAATTCGTTGTAAAAATGTACAATTTCAAGTCACAACCAAAATTAACCAAAAAAATAAAAGTTGACGAATGTTTCATACATTTCTGAGTAAGGTGCTTTAAACCTGCAAAACCACGTAAAGTAATTTTTGATGTCAAAAACTTTTCTGGACTTTAATCAGTCCCTTATGCATAATATTTATAAGAACGTAATTCATCAAAATGAAAGTAAAACTACACTTGTTTTTAGAACTGGTAATCGGAACGATCTGCAGTTTCGTTTGTCAGAGAAAAAATTGCGCTTTAAATCGTTTCACTATCATCATGGCTAAATACAATTTATTGCGAGGTGACTTTAACAACCCTATATTTGCTGTTACATTTGATTTTTATTCTCCAAGACCTCACTTTATTATTTTAACAAAAGACGGTGCCGGTATCGAACGAGAATTTAGTCGCATCACACACAGGCAGACACAGCAGCTCGTCAAAGCTGGAAAATCTGTATTGGAAAGCTTCAAAATAGATGATGGCATTTTGTCTATACACCGCGGAGCGTGGAGAAGCGAAACAAAGAAAATTCATGTTCATTTTTGCGTTGACGTTGAAAGTTATTTACGAGTTTTTGAAAGCCTAAAGGAAGCCATTCCCAACTGGCCAAATAAGCGATATGTTACAAAGGAATGGAAAGGGAGTACAAACCCACACTCATACGCACAAAATGTACGAGGCTATCCTTATCGTAGTTATTTGGAAAAAGAAGTGAAAGCCATTAGAACAAATTCATCTCGTGAGCCCGACGTTCCACTCGGAGAAATACAACTCGAAGGCGGTATAACCAAGATAGTCTATCATCCAAGCCATCCAAAGATTGGCTTCGTTGGCACAAAACCTGACTCGATTGAAGAGTTGCAACAAGTGCTCTGGGCGATGGAAAAATTCGCCAAAGAACTCAGTTTGACAGACTTGGAATCTAAGGACGAGAACCATGGCTGCCATATTTGTTTGTATTTGGGTTCGGGTATGTATTTATAACGGTATATTCCAAGCATGTGTAAGCTTTATATCCTACTATTCCTTAATCCAGATCCTATATCTGATGCATGTCGATCTATTTTTCCTTTCAAAGAAGGTTAAAACCCGTGAAGGAATTTTTATATAATCATATATGAAAGGCCGGAAAGTGCAATCAGACATTGAAGGAATAATTCCGAAATGTCAATAAGACAAGAAACTTACATCATGCATTGCAATGTCCTTTCCAAATTGGCCTTGTACTTGTAGCTCAGACGGTAGAGCATCGTGCTTTTCAACTTATGTTTTCTTTTTTTATCCATGTAGTTACAACTGATGGCTGGAATTTCACCAGGAAAGATGGAGAGGATGTTGTAGGACACATCGTGATGGCCGGGTTTCGCTTCTATCATCTGTGTCCTGTGGACCTTCGAGAGAATTGGTTACTTGCTTATCGGCAATCAGACTTTAAGTGTCTGACCTAAACAATTAGGTAAACTCTTTGATATTGCTAAAAATCAAATATCAATACAATGATTATGACTTCTCTACTGACACTGCGAGTTTAACTTTACATGTAAACATATATTATATGGGATAGTTTTATACACTGAGCCCAAGTGAAGATCCAAATCACCACAGGCACAGGGTATAGGTGACCCCATGCAGCATAGTTTTGACAAAATTTTGTTAAAAACTCGAAAAGAACTCGCTTTCTTAACATCCTTAGAATGAACTTTTGAAGTTAAAACTTTGGGAGAACGTAGTAAAATTGCCAGTGTTTGAAATGATGTACAGGGTGTCTAAAAAAAACGCTGGAAATTCAACATACTGTCGTGCATCACAAACTTGGCTAAACAATTCAATTTTTACATAGGACCTCTCTCCTACGCAGAGGTTTCAATGCGCTTTACACGGCGCTTTACACGGCGCTTTACACGGCGCTTTACACGGCGCTTTACACGGCGCTTTACACGGCGCTTTACACGGCGCTTTACACGGCGCTTTACATGCATGCTTTACATGCATGGCGCTTTACATGGCGCTTTACATGGCGCTTTACATGGCGCTTTACATGGCGCTTTACATGTATTAGTAGTAGAACTTGTAGTAGAACTTTATTTATCAACCGTAGCTGATTTCCACGGGGGGGGGGGGGGGG